TACATGGTGAGATCCTGTTTTGATGTGCGTGTACATGTAATGCTAGATTAATTCACCCTGGATCATTCTGGTTTTCTGTTAAACTAAAACTTCCTGCTTCATTTTAGAAGAAACTTGGCCACACTCTCCTGCCTCAAACAGTGGAAACCCAGCCCAGCGATCAAGTCCACAGGAACAAGAGGACTTTCTAGTCTTATGTTTAGTTTTATGGTAACAAAGCCAGCATTGTGGTAATACAGTCTGAATAAAAGCAAACTGTGTAAAATAAAAAACAAATAATGAACCTTGTGCTTGAAAGGAAGATTTCAAGCCAGGAAGTGGTGGCGCACAGATCTCCAAGTTCCAGGCCAGCCTAGTCGACGGAGTTCCAGGACAGCCAGAACTGCTATGACAGAGAAACCCTGTCTCAGAGAAAAAAGAAAAAGAAAAAAGGAAATTTCATAATTTAGCCAAAAAATAAACATCCTTCGAAACATTAATACAGATAATTAAAATTTGCTGTATGCAAAGCTAGGGTGCGAATTGGGGAGAGAAAGAGGAAGAAAGGAAGCTGGCCCACATGTCCTATGCCTATAAAATCATTTTAGAACCAAGATAATTTTTAAAGGGCAATAGGTAGCTGTGTAGTGAATACTCATAATTAAAACAACAAATGTCAATACAAACATTTCTCACTAAAAAAAAAAAAAAACACCTTAGGAAAATAGCAAGTATGTTTTTCTTTTTATCTCGATACTTGAAAGATCAGATCTACATAATAAGCCCAGAGCATTAGACAGGCCTGCCCATCTGGGCTGTCACCTGTTTAACCTTTCAAATTCTAAGGAAAACTACAAACCTGACCTTCAGGAAAAGAAAACTCTACACAGGCCTGACATGTACACTGATACCTGTTAAGGCTGTTAAGCACTTTCCTTAGACGTGAGAAATGTTTAGGCCAAGCTGGGGGTTGGGGAGTGGGGGAGTGGTGCAGGCCTTTAATCCCAGCAGGCAGAGGAAGATGGATCTCCCCGTGAGTTCAAGGCCAGCCTGGTCTACAAAGTGAGTTCCAGGACAGCCAGAGCTACACAGAGGAAACCCTGTCTCAACAAACAAAACCAAATATATATATATACACACACATTTAGGCCAGAGATGGCTTAGTGGTAAAAGTACTTGCTACTAAGTACCTGTCAACCCAAGCTCTAACTCGGGACTAGCAGGGCAGAGGGAAGAACCAACCCCGATAAACTGCCCTGTGACTTCCACAAGAGGGCGATGGCATACACACCCACACGAGTATGCACGCGCGCACACACACACACAAACACACACACACACACACAAGACTTTAATGTTTGTTATTTTTTTAAAAAAAATTATTTAATATTAGAATTGCTTAAACACAAATTTTCAAAACCGGTTTTTTACTCGTAAGCAGCCCAATTCCAGCAGTCTCCTCCATCCTTCCCTGATGTCATCAGTTCCTGCATTTCCTTTGACCTCTCCAGGTCCTCTCCTGGCCTGACTCAGTTCATCTCTGTAGCCCAAGTGCTCCCTTCTCAAATTCCCAACTCCCTACGTGTGATCGTTCCACCGCCATGGTACCGCTGTGCCTCTCTAGTCTGTACTCGTCCCTCTTCTGCATCCTTCAGTGGATTCCTCCCTAACCCTTTCCTGGGTCTCTTCCACCCACTTCTACTGCCAGAACATCCTGGAGGGTAGACCTCATGACTTAACATCAGCATCACTTTAACACCACTGGGTCACTTGTATTCACTCCATCCCCTTCAAAGAGCTATCTTCTCTACTCGTTTAGTTCCAATTTGAAACAAAAGAGAAAATATTTTAGCCATAAAGTAATCATTAGCTAATGTTGACACATCTGCTGAGGACTAGACACGCTACTCTGTGGTGAGTGCACACCTGAGCCCTTGTGAGGTCCAGCACTGGAGAGGGCTGCTGAAGGCTCCCTCTCACACACAAATGGACAGGGTACAGTCATTGATACTGAGAATTTACAAATCCTACTTTTCTCCTCCCCTGACACATGAATCCCAGTGCTGCTGTGGACATCGCTCTGTATGCTGTAAATGTGTTGCTCTGATTGATTAAGTGCTGATTAGTCAGTAGCCAGGCAGAAAGTATAGGAGGGACAAGCAGAGAGGAGAATTCTGGGAACAGGAAGGCTGAGTCAGGAGACGCTGCCAGCAGCTGCCATGAGAAGCAAGATGTAAAGATACTGATAAGCCACAAGCCCCGTGGCAAGGTATAGATTTATAGAAATGGGTTAATTTAAGATGTAAGATCTAGCTAGTGCAGGGCATTTACCCACCAACTCCACAGTTCCCCAGAGTTTTTTTGAATGCGAGCAACAGAAGTATTAGACAGAAGGATTTAGATTATGGAGATAAACAGAAAATAAAGGATAGCCTTGAGAGGGCCCTGACTGTCTCTGCCCCATGGTATTTATAGAGATGCCAAGGGGTGGAACTAAAGACCTCCCCCCAGCACAGCCAAGTGACCATCTCAGATACCTGCACTCAGGCCCCATGGTCCAATCATCCTCTCTATGGGGACCTACTGGGTAAAGCCACGAGGAGCCTGAGAACAGGCTCCCACAAGCTAGCAAGAAGCCTGAGCCATTAGGCCATACAGTTCATAATTAATATAAGCCTCTATATGTTTATTTGGGTCTGAGCAGCTGTGAGCCCAGGCAGGAAGAAGTTTTTAAACGGAGCTAAAAACAGCTTCCTAGTTCTCTAAGTTAGCCACAGCCTGCAGGCTTGAGCTAATCTATGTCGGGTTTGTGGTATGAGGGCTTGACCTACAGCATGGCGGGAATGCATGGCAGATTTAGGCTTTGCTAGTACAGAGCCCCCCTCCCCCCCCAAAAAAAAAGGTTTCTGGGCTACACACTGCTTTGATAGAAACAGAGACCCACTGCTCCTGAGAGTTGATGGTAAACATGGCTCCCAGACCCAGAGCTGGCAGTAAACGTAGTTCCACCATGTTGACAAGCTGAGGTGGACAGAGAATGATGCAGTTCAAAGCAACAGATTCACAATAAGACAGATTCAGATGGGATAAACCTCTAAACGGTTTAGTGTGTGTAAAAATGTACATAGGCTTGGAAGAGAGAAAAAAAAGTAATATATGCAGTTATATAAACAAATAGTTTTAAAAAATAAAGTCTTTAAAGAGAATGTAAAGTATTTTTTAAAAGCCACATAAAATGGATATCAAACAGAGAATCTGGATTGTGTTGTCTTTGGGAGTTTTAACTGCAGAAAGACATTTGATTTGTAAAGGCTGTTCAGTTAAATCAGTATATATGGTATTTTGACTTCAAAATTCAGATCTAAGGATATGTTGCTTTGGAAAGGAGGCTCTGCCTGTTTCCACAGATTTGTTCCAGATTAAGATACATCAGGTTTGACCAGCCAAGACCGAGTGAAAGGTCTCCAATGACACCATGGCCCAGATGATCCAACATCCAGAACCGTTTCAAGGCAAATGGCTCAGACAATACAGCCTCACCGACTACTCCATAATCCTAAAATTTTCTGTGTCCCCATAAGAATATAGTGCCCTCATCCAGCAGGAAGTAGTATGAGAAGCCACACCCAAATTCCCAAATATACCAAGCTGGCTTTGGAGATGGAACTGGCTCACTCCTTCTCTAAATCCAAGCATACTGGTAAAAACAAAAGGTTGAGATATTCTTCTGTCCCATATCAAGAGCCCTCTGGTGTGGGACAGAGGAAAACCAATATTTTTATTTAAAACAGGTTGATTATAAATACGATCTCTTTCTAAAGAAAAAAAGGAGATAGTATAGATATGATAGGATAAAAGGACAGGTTAATGAACCTTTTAAAGAGCAATAACTTGTTTAGAAATGTTTTACATTGCTATGGATTTTAGTTTATTGATACAAGTTTAAACTTAATTTTGTTACACTACATACATATATATATATATATATATTTCTACTCTAGTTTGAGGTATTATGTTTATATAACTCATTTAGATTATAATGGATAATTAAAAATACAGATTAATGAGTCTTCTACAATAGTCAAACTTATAGTCCTGATAATTTTTCTAGGTATACATAGATATAATTCAATTAGGTAGGTAATCTTCAAACACTTCAAAGACCTACAGAATATGGCATTTAAAAATTTAGACTTTCTGGACATTGAGACATGTCTGTAGCACCGATTTACTTCAGAGAAGATGGACATCAAAGACACTCTATATGGAGTTTATCTTCTTCTTGGAAAAAACAGACATTTGGGCAAAAAACTGTTCTTGCCTGGACTGCTTGACAAATGATGTATTGACTGGACATGCAGGACTCATAGGAAGCTGACCACTGAACTTTGCTTGGCGAAATGGTCCTTCAGAGGTTCCTGCTTTGCAGAGGAAACTGCCAGGCACAGGACACAGAGAGAAGTGACTGAGACTCTAGGCCTGTGGGCTGAAGACAGATGCCCAACTTTACAAAGGAACTTTTGATGACTGTCCAGGCTTCCAGCTGTCTGTTTTTAGTTTTACTTTTTTGTTTTTGTCACTTTATGAACTTATTTCCAAAAGAGGAAAAACAAGAAACATCACAGAAAACACAGTAAGGAATCTTATGTCTTTGCTTCCGAAAAACAGGTTAGAAATTTCAAAGAAAAGCAAGGGGATAAAAAATCTGGTTACCTGGATTCTCTATCAACTCACTCAACAACCAGTAAATCGTTAAAGGGTTTATGTTGTCACCTGAGTAGTACTGTTCTTCAAATCTTTCAGTAGAATACAGATAATGGTTAAGTATGGTGACTATTTAAATCAGAACATCTAGTTTAACCAAATACTCAAGAGGCCAAGTTGTTTGTGGATAGTTACATAATAGAGACCCTGTCTCAAAAAAAAAAAAAGTCTTTCTTCTGGCTTTGGGTACTCAAATGCAAGCACCAATAAAACTAAGTCACCCTCATGATGAGGCCACAAGAATGAAGCACCACCACTTGGAAGCAAGTTTGTGATTTTTATTAAGAGCACTCGAGTTTTTCATATCCTTTACCCAGTATTTTCACTTCTAGAAATCTTTAATAAAGAAAACATTTCAAGCTTTCCATTAGTCATTTGTAACAGGCATTCAAAAAGAAATAAGCAAACACACAATAACTGGGAATTGTCAAACACACTATGACATGTACATTCACTAGATTATTATATAGCCACTAAAATATATTTCAAACATCTATTAACACAGTAATTGCTTGTGATATAATGACAAGGAAAAGTAGGCTGAATACTAAATATACACAATATAGTATCACTTGTTAACAAAAAACACCAAAATATCAGCAGTGGCTATATTTAAGATGCAAAATTAATACTGACTGTTAGTTAACATTTTATCTTTATGCTTTTATATATTTTGTTTTTCATATAGAACATATATTGTTATAACCAAGGAAAATCCTAAAGAAATACATACATAATGATTTCTACACATTCAGACAGGAACAAATTTTATATACTAAAAATCACAACATTAAGCCAATTTACGACTTTTTTTAAACAAGAAACTAAATAGAACCTGGAAAATCTAACACTAACTTGAAATATTTTTGTTCTAAACATACAACTTGAAATGTGGCTCATAATGATCCCAGCATTTAAGAGGCAGAGGCAAGAGGATCTCTGTGAGCTCTAGGCTAGTCTGGTTGATAAAGCAAGTTCCAGGACAGCCAGGGTTACACAGAGAGACCTTGTAATAAGGAAGGAAAAGGGGAGGGAGAGACTGAAGCAGAAGAATAGCTATTAAGTTCAAATCCAGCCTGGTGTTCATAACGAGTTTTAGTCCAACCAGGGCTACATAGTGGGACCTTGCTTAAAACAAACAACTCGAACCAGGTATGGTAGCACAAGCAGGCAGATTTTGAGACTGAGTTTGAAGACAGCCTGAATACATTTAAAAAAAAAAAAGCAAAACATACAATTCTATAGAATTTTTAATTTTATGTAGTCTGGCTGAAAGTTTCCCAATGGCCTCAATAAGTGAGTAATCCCAAAACTAACATAATAAATTATAATTAGGCATAACAGTTAAGCTTTTATAGATACTTTTACTTTAAAAAAAAAAAAAAGACTGGTAAATTCTAACATTTCTAATCATATGTGAACCACAGGAAGAAAAATGTTAGCTCCTTCCGTATCTTTTTTTTTCCCCCAGAGCTGAGGACCGAACCCAGAAGCGCTCTACTACTGAGCTAAGTCCCCAACCCTTCCTTCCATGTCTTGTAGTAATAAAACTAACCTTTTTGTAGTGAGATCAAAAGAGTAAACTGACTTGAGACAGACATTGCTGGTCAGTTGGCGCAGAACAATCTCCACGTTCCCTAACTTTCCCAGCCTACTCTCAGTTCATATTTCTCTTATCTGATGCCTTATACTTCAGGCCCAGTTTTATCTTAGAGAGTCTCCACAAAATACTCACCCTCTGGGGGCCTTGGGTACTATCCCCAGTGCCAAGTCTCTGGCCTAGTATACTGCCCACTCTGCCCTACCTCCCCACTACTATCCCTCCCTCTCCTACTGGATTTGGGCAACACCACTTCATCCGAGTTTTCCACTCTCACCACCTTCTACATTTGCCTTAGCAGTACCTGTTATGCTATATAATTAAATGATTGTTTATAAAACTGTTTAATATCCATCTTCTTCTCTATGCATGAAGGAACAATGTCTCTTACTCATTATTCCATCCCTAGTGGCCACCATCACAGAACCTGGTGAAACACAAATCACATGGATGAGTGAGTGGGTGGGTGGATGAACGAATGGATAGATGGGCAGGCAGGCAGGCATGGAAAAACAAACACATGGGTGAATTAGAGATGTTGAATAATGAGTTACTGGGCACAGTGATACATGCCTATAAGCCTGGCTACTCAGGAAGCTTAGGCTGTAAGATTCTAAATTCAAGGACTACCTCAACTACATAATGAGCTCAATCCTGGCCTGGGTATCTTAATGAGACCCTGTCTTAAAAATAAAGGAGCCAGGCAGTAGTGAACCACGACTTTAATCCCAGCACTTGGGAGGCAGAGGCAGGCGGATCTCTGAGAGTTTGAGGCCAGCCTGGTTTACAGAGTGAGTTCCAGGCCAGTCACTACTGTTACACAGAGAAACCCTGTCTCGAAAAACCAAAAACAGAAAAAAGGGAGAGGGGGGGTTCCCTGGGTGGGGGGTCGGGGAGATCTAGTTCTAAATGTAGGGAGGCAGCTGCAGATATAGCTCATCAACAGAGCTCATAAATAGCATACATAGGCCATGAGTTCAATCCCAGTATCATAGAAATAGATTATTAATCCCAGAGGTTTCCTGGGGAGGCAGGATAGAGCTCAAGGCCAGCCTGCCAGCCTGGGCTACACATCAAGGTCAAAGCCAGTCTAAGATGCAGATTAAGACCCTCTCCAAAAAAGAAAAAGAAACAAAACTGAGGATGTAGCTCAGTGGTAGAGCACTTGCCTAGACTGGCTGAGGCCAAGGTTTGAGGCCCAATTAGTGGGAGAAGAAAAAACAAAATTTAGTAATTTAAATGACTTTTCCTATAATCCTTTTATTTTTATATATATAATTATAAAATATAATAAATATATATAATATATAAAATATAAAATATATAAATACCCTACAGAGCACTGCCTTATTGAAGTGACTCAAATTAAAGAAGTAAAAAGCAGGGACCCAAAAGAGTTTGATTTGTGGATCCCAAGAACAAGATCCCCATCAACAGAAAACTAATTCAATATTTTAAAAATGAATAGTTACAATGGGCTGAATACCTCAAAGCCCTTCATCCATTGATCTGCTCTCCACGACCCCCACTCTGAACACCATCCCTTTCTAGCCTCACTTGTCCCATTGATCTGGTCCCAAAGACTCACAGATGGATTCTTGGCAGCCATGTTCTTGAGGGAAAAAGTCTTGAGCACCAAGTGCCAAAACATGACCTCCCCCTCAAGAGTCTCTATTCCTATCCTCAAGGAGATAGCTGTAGTTAACCCTGGTCAATGTCACACATTTTGGGACCTAATTTAGCTGAAGCCTCTCCAGACAATGCCTTAGTGGGGGCTAACTAGAGGAAGTCATTTCATGTGTCTTACTGAGTGGTTCTTGCCAGTCTATAAAGCTCTAAACCCAGCTTTGCCACTCCCTCACTGCCCACTCTAGCCATCACTTACTAAAAGATCCCTAACGATGAGATCCTTACCTGGAACTATGTAGACCCTCCCGGCCTTGAACTTGCAGCTATCCATTTCTGCTTCTGCCTGCTCCCAAGTGCTGGGATTGAAAGGACTATCCCATTATGCTCAGCTTCACTTCACACTTATCACTCCACCTTTCATCTTTCCAAAAATAAATAAATGGAAAGCTAAATCCTCCCAGGTCCAAAACCCTCTCAAAACTTCAAAGCATGTAGTAAAATTCCCTTTGCCCTTTATTCTCCAGATCTCTTGCCAAGTGATTGTTCCACTTCCTATCATCCACCCTCCTGCCCATGCTCACTCTAACTTCTACAGCTGAGGTCTTTAACTCTCATCCCCATCAGTAAATCCTGCATGCACACTGCCAGCTTGGCACCCACATTCCTTTAACATAAAGGTCACCACATCTATCCCCTATACAAATCCTACTTGCTCTACATTGCCTAAGAGAAAAGAAATAAAATGTAATCCCAAATTCCTCTGCAAAGCATTTAAGGCCCTCCACAACTGACTTTTCAATCCTCCCAATTCTGTTACACTTTATTCTTAAATAAACTCTAGTCACCTCTATCTATTCTCATTGTGTTCTCCAAATCTCTAAATGTGTTAATTTTTGTCTATTAACTCTTCCTAAAATACTTTCGGGGTTGTTTTGTAAGCCAAGTTCTCACTCAAGTAAATAATTCTTCTGCCTCAGCCTCTCAGAATGCTGGATTACATGTATAAGCCACATTAGAAGCTATTAACTTAATATCTGAACTAATTGAGCACTCTTTGCTGCTCATACTTCCTCTCCCTTATCCCAGCCTGAATTTCTCTGTCCACTCAGTGATCCCTCTTTAATCCTAGGATAGGTACTACACATAGGTACTCTAACTTATGGTAGTCATTTTTCCCATGAATGAATCATTTCTGTCTTTATCACTTATCTCAAAATGGGATGGAAGCTCTTTACTAGACAAAATGTCTTATTTCTATAATGTGGTTTAACTACAAAGTGTTCTGTCAATTTAGGAAATACCCCTGAAGCACCATGAAGCAACCAAGAGAAACACTCAAGGTTCCTAGTCCCAGGAACAAAGATTCTAGTCTCCCGGCAGCTCAATCTGCAGAGCTTTTCTTCAGCTGTTTTTGCTGCCTTTTGGAGAGCTGCTTCCGATTGCTCTGTAGGACAGAAAGGTCGGACCTTGAGGAGGAGCAGTAGCCCACATTTTCTGCCTTTAGGGGCTTAATAATATGGCCTAGTTTGGTGCTAACCTTGGGAACTGTCAGCTTTTGAAAGGCCCTCTGGGTGTTCCATGTGCACCCAATAGGGTTCTGGATGGTCCTTTCAAATTGCTGGTGATGGGTGAATGGGTGCGGAACAGCCCGCACCTGATGAGCTGCTGCATGGATGTTGCGCTTCTCATTGATAATCACATTTGGCAAATTCTTGTCTTTTCTTGGAGCACTTTCAGGAGCTTTAATGAGAAAACGGCGTCTTTTCTTGGCACTGGGCTTCAGACCTATACCAACCCACTCACCCCATCCAGGCAATGTCAGGTCCACATCCTTTGGTTTACTCGCCTCTACAGCTTCCCTTTTCTCTTTTAAGAATTCTCTGATGACATCATCCCCAGCAAATGCTTCCTTTATTATCTGCTTGTGGTCTGTCTCCACTTCATCTTCTAACTCCTCTACTGTGGGCACTGCCAAAGACTTCACAGAAGGTCTAGTAGTTAGGAGATTCTGTAGATCAATCATTGGTTCCTTTTTTCTCTTCTTTCTGGAGGCATCAGGTATACTGGGTGGGTTCCTCTCCTTCCCCTCTCCTTTTACCATAGGTCTGGGAAGCCCCTTTTTTGGATAATGTCCCTCTTTGCTCAACTCTCCTTGTTCTTCCAGAACAGGTGCTCTCTCTAGCCTTTGAAGCATCAGGCTCTCCTCCAGAGCAAGTTCCTCTCTCTGGGTCTGGAGAGCAGTTCCCACTGAACTCCCTTTTTGCTGCTCAGATTGATGGTTTTCCTTGTGGAGTTTCTGAAGCAATACCCTCGATTCAGATAATACCTCCTGGCCATCAGAGTCTTCCGTTTCCTGGCCACCCACTGGCTTAGCGTTGTTGGGCTCAACTCTTTCTTGAAAGACTTTTTCCTTCACCAGAAGCTCTTCAGCCACTGGTTTCTCATCTCTCTCACTTTCAGAAGCCCCATCGGCCACCAGTTCGGGCAGCTGTCCAGGGTCGGTCTTGATCTCACCCCTTGTTGCATGGCTGTTGCAACTCCTGAGCATCCAGGGATTTCGACCAGCTGCATCTATCTGTAGGTCGTTCATTCCATCAGAGGCAGGGATTACTCCCTCTTTGGTGCATTCCTCCTCCTCTTCCTCCTCCTTCTCCTCCCTCTCCGAAACTACCTGGAGTTTCTGTGTCAGTTCTCTGTTCTTCGCCAATTGTTCCTGCATAGCTTTGCGGGACTCCAGGTCATATCTGGCCCTAATTGCCTTTGACCTGGCCCATTTCCCACCGCCCTGGTGCTTCAGACTCATGCGCTCCATCATTCTGGCCTCTTCCATTTTTCCCAGTTCTTGCAATGCAGCACTTGGGCAGTCCTTCCATAGCTGCTCAAACTCTTTCAAGGCTTTCTTGGTTTTGCCTTTCTTTATAAACTTGTGATACTTCTTACTTTTGATTTTCTTCTCTCTTCGAGCTCGGGCCTCATAGTAGGACTGCAGAGCCCGCGTCCTCTGGAGCTCTGCTCGGTGTATTTTCGCTTCTTCCAGGCTCATGGCTTTAAGGGAGGCTTTTTCCATGGGAGTCAATAAAGGGTCTGTCACTGGCTGCTTGTTCTTGTGAAGGAGGTTGAAAACTTCTTGCTCCAGGGGAGTTCTTGTTTTCCAGTCAGTGAATACATGTTCAATGGGAGCAACAGCTGGCGGCTCCTTCTCCATAGGAAAAACCAGCTGTTCTGCTTGCCGGTTCTTCAGAACAACGGGATCCCACTTGGAGAGCATCTGTGAGGTTTTGCTGAATGCTGCTTCCCTGAGGATCTGGTCAGCCTCTTTTTTGTCAAGGGGTACTGCAAGAGTCTTTGACCTGGCCCTAAGCAATTGCTTTTTCACAGCAGCCAACGGAGATAATGCTGTAGCAGACTCCAGCAAATCTGAAAGAACCAGCTTTTCACCTGACCCTTCAGAAGTGACATTGAACTCGGACACCATCAGACTAGCCTCCGATCTCTCTGCCAATTTCCAACTCTTCTTTCCGCCAAGGGAACTGACTGCTTCCAGAAGCTTTTGACATTTTCTCTCTCCATCACTGCCCCCCTCATCTTCACTTGTACTCAATGGGTAGTGGTCTGGCAACTCCACTAGTTCGTCCTGGTGGCTCAAAGGCAGGAGCTCTGCCACCTTCTTGGTCACGTTCATGGTAGCAGCCTGCTTTCTCTTAGCAGGCTGGGAGCTCTTGAAGAAGCGTCCGGTCTGACTCCTCTTTGGCTCCATCTATTTACTGCCCACTGTCTCTGATACAGATGTGTTCTGAGAATCTTAGTTACTGAGATGTCTAAAGAAGAAAAGACCCATATAAATACCCCAGCAATTTCCATGTAGTCAACATAAAATTTACAGGCCAGCCAGGATGGTGACATACAAGGACAGCCTAGGCTACATACGACTCAGTCTCTCCAGGTGGTGGTGGTGGTGGTGGCGGCGGCAGCAGCACACGCCTTTGATCCCAGCCCTCGGGAGTTCGAGGCTAGCCTGGTCTACAAAATGAGTTCCAGGACAGCCAGGACTGTTATATAGAGAAACCTTGTCTCTATATAACCAAACTTTGTCTCAGGAAAAGAAAAAAAA